ACAGTGAGGATGTTCTAAGAATTTTGTTTTAATGCAATGCATTATGCAATGATAGTGGCATCTATTTTCTATTTGTAAATATTTTTTTATTTAACTTGAAATGCTTCTTTTGCAATCTTCTGGTAGATCCTGATCTACCCATTGGGCATCACCATTTAAAAATAGCATGAAAAGTTAAAAAAAAACCCTTTGTACTACAACCAAACCTTGTAGCACCAGGGTTCGTGTGAGTCAATTCTGAAAAGGTCATTTCTAACAGTTCTGGAAGGCACCGATCAAGGAGGGATTACCAGCTGGACAGAGCCGACAAGTGACTCTCAGTGGGCTCATACAATAAACCCAGGCTAATCGTGTGTTAAATTGGGTTGTTATATTTGACTGATTGTTATTTTATTTCAGTGCATAAGTCCCCGTGACCTCAAAGTGGCTTGGCTTTGAAAACAAGTGTCCTGTCTCAGTGTCTGGCATTTATATGTTTATATTTATATTGGGTCACAAGGTGGAAAATGTTAGCAGAACGCTTGCCTGTACAGCAAGAAGATCGCTGGTTTCCATACCCGGTTGAGCTAGATAAACATTCTTTTGTGTCTTAAAGTTATGTACATACTAAGGGGAACAGAGTTGCAGAGTTTTGTTTTTTTTTTTTTGGGGGGGGGTCCACCTAGTTTAGTGTGAGCGGTGAAAGGTGACATGTTTTTTTTTTGTAATAATAATAAATATGTTTTTGTGTGATTGACTTCCTGCTTATGTCCAATATTATTACTAGTTGAAATTAGGTGATAATGGGAGATAATAATAACTCTCTCTGAACTTTAGGCCACAGAGCTCCCTGCAGTTTCATGGTACTGCATGATCTCCATGTCTTCTGACACGAAATGTCAAGAGTCCCCGTTGTGAAGGGTATAGCACTGATCTTGTGTTTACTCTGTATTTATGTTTATTTTATAAATAAATATAAAACTTAATTCAAGTCAAACTCATCCACACACTTGCAGCAGATTTAACATTAACACTTGCCCTATACTACAACAATATTATAGGCACAGCTAAATCCCTGCTTGTTAATGTTAATGTCATCTTTTAATACATTTATATATATGTATATATGTAGATACCTATCAGATACATCACATATGTGCTATATCTTGTGATATATATCATATAAATAATATATGTCACATATCATGTATATGTGTGTGTCATATATCATACATAATATAATAATATAATATATGTTATATATATTGTCATTGACATTATAATGTCACAAGGACAAGGAGTTCACTTTCCTTCCTTCCTGTAGCTATCTTATATAAAAATAGTGGTAACAATTGAATTTTGTTTTGTATTTACATATGAAAAATCAATATGTGGCTACAGATAGCCTTTAAAACCTTTTCAAAAATTTACAATGTATCGTCTATATATTTCTACTCTGCACCCTCCCTTCCATTGTATATTTTCCCGCCTACTTGCCTACAACTAGAACATTCTGCAATGCTGGTGCTGCTGGTGAAAGCTTTCCTGTTGAGCAGTGGGAGAGGCAAGCAGCCAAGCTACTCACCATGCTGTGTTGTTCACTTTCTGTAAACATCTGCTGCTTGCATGCCGCTTAAGTGATTCAATGACAGGGTCTTCATTTATCCTTGACAACAATTGACTTCTCTGTGGCTCTTTATAATGTTCTTTATTGTTTGGTCACGTTTTAATGTAATATGTGCTTGTAATATAAACATAAACATTTTTCTGGACTGTTTTTTTTTTTGAGCAGGAAGCTCAACTCAGATGAGCTGAAATATCTTAGAATAAGTTGTTTTGTTTGCTATAAATATTGATTAATATTAAAATGCCACATGA